AAATGGCTATCCGGCAAGATTTGTTAACTCAATTATTAAACGACAGCTAAATCTACAAAAATCGACTGCCCCTCCTACACCTATAGAAACTACTACTGATACAGTAGTACTACGTGTTCCATATTTCGGAGCTGAATCTCAAATATACGGCAAACGCGTAACAGCAGCAGCTGCGAAGCACTATCCCTTGAAAAAAATCCGCGTTGTATATGATGTGACAGACCGTATTGGACGTGGTTTCCAATTGAAAGATTCAATTGCTGATGAGTTCAAATCTGGTGTAGTTTATGAAGCAACTTGCAGCACCTGCAACCAAGCATACGTAGGACAAACGTTTCGCCATCTAAACACAAGAATTCATGAGCACATATTAGATCTAAAGAAATTCTTGCCTCAAACAGCAACCGTCAAACCATCAACGAAATCTAAACAAAGAAAAAAAAAGAAACAACAAGAAACTAAAACGACAATAAAGTACACAGGTCCACTTACTAGATCAAAAACGGGCAAGCTTCCACCAGTAGTTGTTAAGTTGAATTCCGTGGACCTTGATAACCTCTTGGATCAAACCAATCTAAAACAAAAAAACGAAAACATTCGAATCCCAAAATCATCAATAACAAAACACTATATCGCGACAAATCATATAATAACAGAGGAGGATTTCAAGATTTTACACAACGAACAACGTAAATACAGGCTAAAAATTAAAGAATCCCTCTTAATAATAACACGAGCTCCTCAACTCAATGGAACTGAACAATCAATGCCCTTGTACATCTATCCTGATGGATTAAACACTAACGAACAAATGTAGTCACTTTTCGACTATAACAACTTGAACAATCAGCCTATCACTAACGACCACAATAGAGGAAAAAACAAACACACAGTAGTGATTCATTTCCACTTCTACATATAGCACAATCATATTTCAAGGAAGGGCAATAAACAAAGCGCAACTGGACAATGACGAGCACTAATCATATTAAAGAATGAATCACCACATCACAAAAAGCCAACAAACCACTTCTCAATTTCCATTCAACGAACAATCGATAACCAAGAAGAAAACATCTGAAATTCAAATACACCCAACTATACTTCATAACCCAACCATCACCTAAATAGCATTGAACATTTCAACTGGAAGAACCTAGGCACCTCCTTATACAAACAGCACCGTGGCAACTATCTATAATAAACTTATGTAAAAGGGTCAAGTTAATAACATCAGGTAATGGAATTGGAAATGATAATGAAACATCAGGTCGTGGATAAACAACATCAACATAAACCAAAACAACATCATCGACATGAAGCAAAGCAACAACAATAACAAGAACAATTCTCGTAAATGTCCGTATAAACAAGGACGAAATATTGAAAAAAGAAAAAACATTTAGAATTTAAATAAATTCTCTTTTATTTTAAATTTTAAATTTTTTATTTAATTATATTAAATAAAATAAAATCGTGCCGCATCATCAATCTATTGAAACAAACTTCACTTTAGATAGAAAACTCTTATATTTTCATGCAGATTTTTGTTAAAGACTATTGCCAATCTCTATACAAAGCCCTTTTCGTCCATTCTAGGTATTTATCCAATAATTAATATACTTCAGCCTAATTAATTAGGATTAAGCTAGAAAAATCTTCGAAGAAATTAACCAAGTCGAATTTTATTACATTTCAGTATGGCACTGTTGCGTTCTCGTTCACTAAAATCAATCCGACCAGGATCCGGCTACTTCCGTGTGCTCACTACTCAATCGCCGATTTGTTTTGGAGAAACATCTCTATATAAGCAACTTCACTTTAGATAGAAAACTTATATATTTTCATGCAGATTTTTGTTAAAGACTATTCCCACTGATCTCTTCACCAGCTACAATTCGCTGCATGATCTTCTGCGTTCTTTGTGGCTAATTAATCGATAATTAGGGTATTTCAAAGTCTCACTCATGAAGATTAAAAAAGGATCTCTTAAAGTAACAACTTAACAAAATCTTGTCAAACATAAGCATTTCATGCTTAAATGTTGTGAATCCGTTCAAGAGAATGTTACTGAGATATATTCAGCCGATACTTTGTGCTGACTATCCATTCGACATCGTATTTTACACTAAAAGCTACATANACATCAGGTCGTGGAAAAACAACATCAACATAAACCAAAACAACATCATCGACATGAAGCAAAACAACAACAATAACAAGAACAATTCTCGTAAATGTCCGTATAAACAAGGACGAAATATTGAAAAAAGAAAAAACATTTAGAATTTAAATAAATTCTCTTTTATTTTAAATTTTTTATTTAATTATATTAAATAAAATAAAATCGTGCTGCATCATCAATCTATTGAAACAAATGAACACCGATTCTCATATAATACATTACGAGTTAGTCATTATATCTAGCAAAGGTGCTTATTCCTACTCTATATAGTTCGATAATCTTCTTTGATAATATTTTGCAAAAAAAATCATCAGAAAAGCGAGTAATTTAAAACTTGTTTTACGAACCATGTTTCTTGAAAAAAGAAATACGATTCATGTGATCTATCATATTTTATTTATATTTTTTCTAAAAAATAGACTAAACATAAGAGCAATATTTTATTGTACATCAGATCTTCGAATATGTATATTAGATAGCTCCATAAGTTTGAAAATTTCTTTATGCAAAGAAATTCAATATTTATTTATTTTGTTAGATTGCAGCTTTCTTAGATCCAACATCTTATCAATATTTAACTGATGAAAATATTGGTGAAGCTGAAAGAACACTTTTATCAAAATTTGATGTTACCCAACCATTTGATCGATTACAAATTGATACTTCAGTAACAACGACGATGCCAATGTCAACATCAACACCATTAGGACACCAACGTACTCAAAATAGTACAACACCTCACGAAAAATTAACTTTGGATGAATTTTTTCGCATGTGCGAAAGGCCTTCAGCATCCAACGTAACAACAAATTCCATCAGAAAGCAGTTATCATTTAAAGAAGAGCTGTGTCACTATATGTCTACAGCCGGTTCAAGTTCTAAATTCAGTGAATACTGGTGTCAGTACGAAATGCTTCTTCCTCAACTGTCACAGTTTGTTAAGAAATACAATTGTATACTTGCAACAAGTGTTTCCAGTGAGTCGGCATTTTGCATCGCAGGATACTTGCAACGCAAAGCTCGATCATCACTTTCATCAACAGCGTTGAGATATTCAATGGTTTTACGTAAATAAGCAGACATTTATCTTTTCACCTTGCATTTTGTATCTATCAGCATTTTTCTAGAAACTTGTGTAAATTAGGAATTAGAAAAATCAAATGTAAAATAATAAGACTTTTTTACTGGTTTTACATGATTGATCTCTCAAAATAAAATAGGTTCAAGTTTGTATGAAAAATTTATCTTAGTCAAGGAATGACTTTCAAAATTATTCTCAACATATCATAACTTTCACCTTTGTTATTGTGACACTAGAATTACGTTATAAAATATGCAGTATATGTTGAAGGGGAAATAAAAACTCTAAGTCAATCTTAAATTTCCCTAGAGAAAATTAAAATTCATGAACGATTTTAATTTCCCCTACAACATATGCTTTATTTCTATAGTTAATCAGTTATTCATCATTATTTTGAGTATATGAGTACTAGTGTCAGTCTTAGGGTATTACATCAGAAGCCTATTCATCGGTTAAAGTAAATGCACAAGGAGATTCAAGAACTTCTCGATACATAGTTATTTAGTGTACTCTCGAGCTTTTGAGATACTTCTCTTTTAAAAATCATAGAAAATCTCATGTCTATGATATTACTTTAATATTTTATACTTCAGTAGGGCAATAACGAGAATGCACAGTAAGTTTTATTAATACTCACTTTTCACCACCACAATTCAGTCTTATTCAAAAATACCGATAAAACATATCCTCTCTAGCATATAGAATCTAGATAAACTTTGAGTTTATGTGTATATGCAAACTATTTATTTTAAAAATTGGTCAATTTTTATTCTCAAATTAATAATAAAGACAAGATTTTAAGTATCGATTAATTTTTTGCGAAGTTATGAATGCGCCAACGGCGAGATAAAAATAAAAAATTAACTTGCAATTTTCACTACTTTACTTTACTCTACTATTCGGGTAAAGTATACATATTCTACTTTACCCGGCAAAGTAAAGATAAAGTGCCCCCTATTTACTACTAAATTTTTTCAAAAAAAGCAACTTTTTTTTCAATTTACTAATAAATATTTTTATGAAAATAACACAAAATTTTATTTTCATTTAAATCATAAATATTTTAAAACGACAGAATTCAATTTTTTCACTTTAATAATTAATATTTTTTGCGAAGAAAAACAAATTCTTTTATTTAATTCATTTCTTTTCATTTAACAAATAAATAAATGAAGAAGAAAAGAAACATATGATGTAATTTTATATTTTAGCTTTTTTCTTTTCTTTGAAGCGAAAGAGTAAAAGAAAAATTCTTTTTCTTGTTCATTTATTTCAAAGTATAGAAAAAAAACGAACAAAGAAAAAACAATTCACAAGTCTTATTCGATAGAAAATCGTTGAACACGATTATTAAGCTCATCGGCGACATAGAGATTACCATGTCGATCGAAAGACAAACCAATAGGATACTGGAACTGATTTGCTCCTCCTCCTTGACCATTTCCACCCAAAATTACAGTACCTTGTTTCTTGTCTCCTTGAGTCCAACGCATTACACGATGATTCCACGTGTCTACTACATAGAGTGTTCCAAACGTATCAACGAAGATTCCTTGATGATCAGACAATTGTGTCAGAGCATTTCCTTTCCCTTGT